GCTCTCAGATCTCTGTATTCACCAGCATGGTTTGGGAGGGAGATGGGAGGGCCAAACGTGGGATTTAAGCACTGCTTAAAGAACCTCATATCCACTGGAGTGGACTGCACTCACCCATAGAGGCTAACAGTGTTGGCTGATGTTAATGAATGGTTGCAATGTGAATAACATGGCAACTGAGAAAGGGCTGACTTTTGAAAAGATTAATATTATGCCCACTTTTAAGAAGAGTAAGGAGAAGGATGTGGAAAACAGCAGTCTGTAAGCAATATCTCCATCCTTGAAAAAATAATGGAGCAAGACTTCTTGGAGATAATTTTCAAGCATGTGAAGAGCAGGAAGGTAACCAGGAAGAGTCCACAGGTCCAGGTTTTGGACTTAACCCTAGTCCCTTGTTTTCCCCACTCAGCTCTTCACTGCAAGATCTAGTGCAAGCTTGAGAAGTCAGTCACGTCTGGCTCTGCAGAGATCTTGTCTCTGTGTGCTAACATCTGCATTGCTGGTAGTGACATTGAGAACACTGGATGGAAAAGGAAAACAGACTCCAAGCACAGGGCTGCTGCCTCGGGTAGACAAGAGGTCTCGTATGGGTGCATTGTCCTCGAGTGCATAGACATCCTGCAAATGGGACATACGCAAATAAGAACAGATCATGCTAAGGCAAAGAGCAAGCCCACCCATGTCAGACTCCTTCCAAGGGGGTGAAAGGAGTCAGCAAACTCCAGCTTAGACCTTTTCTTCCTTCTAACAACAGCCTCTTGGTTTTTTTTTTTCCCATAGTTGGAGAACAGGAAGGTGTAGCAGGGTAAACATGTGGGATAAATGTCAGAGAACTCTGCTCATGCATCTGGGCTTTGGCAGGCAGATGGAGCTGGAGGTGAGACGGGAAGCTCCGCTAAAGGAAGTATGATTTCACAGCAAGAGAGTCAAAGGATCCTTTACAGGCTGCATGCTGATCTAATCCAGGGAGGCTGTGAACCAGTGGGATGAAGGGTGAAATCCTGCTGACACTTCTCATCTGTTTCTTTCAGCAAGGGACAAAATTTCCACACAGGGCTTTGTCCAGCCTCTGAGCTGTGTGACTTGTGCCCATTCCTCACCAACCCCAGCAGAAGAGGGGAGCAACAGCTCAATATTCTGGGGACCGAAGTAAGAGAAAGTGAAAGGTCCCTCCTGGACCGTTTTTCTGCCTGTAGATACCAAACTTTGCACCATGAGAAGAAGACACCCACGATTCTTGTGCAATGCCTTTCAGGGTCCAAAAGCTGATGAAAGATACCACAGCAACCACCTACTCTCCACGACCACGTCCCTGTCCAAGCCTTCTGCTGTACCCCAGTCTGCTATCAACTTCCACACAGTGATGGTCTTGCACTGTCCCCAGTGCTCCAGCAGCCAGCCCTGGAGGGATGAAACAGGCAGGGACCAGTGGCCTCTTCCAGAGCCCTGTCCACATGGTCTTCAGAGCATGCCTCCAAGCAACCCTGAGGGCTTGGGGATGCCCTGCCCACTGCGCCAGCCTGGGCCCCAGGGGCTGATACCTAGTCACAGCTCTGAACAAGCCCACCTGTTCCAGAGAACTGGGGACTCACACCAGCTACTTAGTCGTAGCCAGAGTCTTGCAACCAGAAAGATCTAAGAGATCTAAGAGACTATTTTTATGACAAAGTGCCAAAGAACACAGGCAAACGTTTGCAACAGTTTCCCAGGAATTATTTCTCTATTTCCACGCACTAGCCAAACCCACAAGCACCCAGGGAGCAGGCAATGGCCTGTTTCCCCCAAGCAGCTGACAGCCTGGGCAAGGACTTGCATCCCCAGCCCAGTTTCAGGAGGGGTTTGCGTGCTGTCTCCCTACCCACAAGTAAACGAACCACCCTACGGTTTTCTAGTGTCATCTGGGGACTCTTGGATCTGTTTCTCTAACACTGGTAAAAAATTAGTAGTGCAGAGAAAGTCACTCAGGGGGCAGCCAGAGGGGGAAAAAGCTGGAGAAAGTTAATGCACGCAGGCTAAAGCATGGCCCTGTCCACGCCATCAGCCAGAAATCCAACCAGCTGGAGGGGTAATTCACAGCAATGCTGCCAGACATCATAACTGAAAATACTTTATTGGACATCAATAGTAAAGTAAGAACATTGGATTATACATCCATTGATACATAAATGATAAAAATGCAAAAGCAAAACAATGTACAGGAAACCCATAAGCAGTCCAGTATACAAGTAACATCCCAGGGAAAAGCTGCATGCGAGAACCCTTCCTCATCCTATCAAGCAAACAGTAATCCCAAAGAAACCAAGCATTAGCCTCTCCTTTGCAGCCATTTGTTCTGGGTTTCAACCGTTACAGACAGCATCACTTTGAATGTTGCAGCTGGTATTGGAGAGGAAAAACCACCACCCACCACATGTCATGACCAGAATTCAATTCTGTGCAACATGAGCATTTGTAGGAAAGGCCTCCAAAAATCCCAGGGAGAGAAATTTCATGTCCAGGTTGAGTCAAGAGCGTTTTGTGAGTTTGAACAATATAGTTCACACAGGGACAATAAGATCTGGAAATCACGGGCCAGCACCGAAGGGTGAAACAAGCAACAGAAGGCAGCTTTGGCTTTTTACATGGCTTGTGGCTTTAGCAGTAGAAGAGACACTAAGTGACAGTTTCTTGCACTGCTAGTGTCTCTGCTGGAAATGGTTTTCAGATTTCCTGGTTTTCTAGTTTCCATTTCTCTCTTCTTTCAAGGCACATGTGTAGAAACCTTTGATTGCAACAGCCAGAAACAAGTGCTCAGATCACCTCCATGATATTCAATGATTTCAACATACAGCAAAACAAGTTGTTGTTACACTAACTTTTTTCTACTCTTCAGATAATCTTAAGGCAATAAAAAAAAAAATCACTTAATTACAACAGGAAGCCCCTTTGCATAGCCTGTTAGCAGACAGACACCACTACAGCCCAAGGTCCCAACTCTTCAATTTACAAAAGGCTCAGCACAAAATTGAGGTGCTTTCTGCATGGACCTGGGATTTTCAGTGGAGCCTCAGTGAGTATTGGTGCTGATCTGCCACCTGTGGGAGCGGGGCCCTGCTTCTAAGGCACCTTTGAAAAAATAAAGTCCTCGCCCGTGTCTCTGTTACTGGTGCAGGTTACAGCTACACCAACGTTTACAGGCAGACGTTTGACCTGGACTTCTGTAAAACATCCTCTTCTTGTACCCCTTTGTATCTGCAAGAGCTGGAGCCTGACCTGCCAAAAAGGAGTCATGCAGCAAGTCTCCTGGCCACCAACACCTTTTAAGTGGAGGGGGTGAACTCTTTTTCAAAGTAAGACTGAAAAGGCAGCTGGGTATCTCCCTAGTAACTAAAGTCTCCATGCATACTTTCGAGCCACTGCTGGCCTAAGAAGAATGCACCGCCCCCAGTCCCTGCAGGATCCCACCCCTGCAGTGCAAGGGTTCAGCAAAACCTTCAGGTCTCAACAAAAAAAGCAAAACAAAACACCAAAAAAAGCAGTGGGGAGGGAAGAGGCAGTGCTGAAGATAATCCCCAATACAACAGAGCATCCCTGATTTCAATAGCCTTCAGCACAGGCCAAGGAAGTGCAAATTGCTGTGGTCAGAGCTGGTGGCAAAGTACTCACCAAAAGCAATTCAGTTCTTAGTTCTGGCTGAGAGCTTTAAATCACTTAAACCAGCTCCAAGGGTGTCAGCCCTTGAGGCTTTCATACTGTCACGGGAAGGAAAAGCAGAGTGTCTGTACAGGTAGTGCCCTGGTGCACTGACAAAAAGCAGTACTAAACATGAGCATGTCCCTCAAAGCCTGAGAGAATCAGAAGGGAGTTTCCCGATAGAACATACACATTGCAACAGGCTTCAGGCAAAGAAAAATCGAGTGGATGTCAGGCCTGCTGTGAGTATCTCAGCACCACAGGAGATTTAATGGACAAATATGCAAAGCAAATATAATACATGGCTTATATATAATGACGCACATAAAACACCTACTAGTCTGAAGATAAAGGAGACCTTGAATCATATCCTATTATGCTGCACTCTATTTTAATCTGGTATTAAATATACTGCTTATGATATACATAATAATTACTTTTAAAAGTTATTAAAATGTTACAACAACAACAAAAGTAAGAAGTGAATTCAAGTTTTACGCATGACCTTGCAAGAAAAATTTTGGTTTCAGGAAGCTTCAGACAATGTTTAAAAAGCGTGGTAACTTTCTACCACTATAACAAGTGTCAGCAAATTTTAAGGCCATAATTTCATAGCTCAATTAAATTAATTAATCTTTATTTCAGAAAAAAAAAAACCCAACCCAACCACCCCCCTGATCCCCCGAAAAACCTAGGTGGCAGTGTACTGAGGCAAAAAGTCACTATCACATCCAGATGTAAGGTTATCTGAAGCCAGTGGGTTTTGCAGATGCCACCTGTGTAGCTTCCACCCTATGCAGAGAGCTCACTGGCAAATTCTGCCAAACTCTGGCTGAACTCACTCAAAGCCACCTTTGAGACTAAAAGAAATAATGACATTCACTGAATCCAGAACTGATTGTTCAACACTTGCTCTGCACACAGAGATGATGTTTTGGTCACTATGAGAAAAAAATATATGATATTGTCTCCCCATTAAAAAAAATCTAATGCAAAGCGTAAACTTGTACAATTTTAGCAGCATTTTACAGACCTTCATAAAGTAAAACCAGGAATGAATTAAAAGGAATGTTTTCATCCACCTCATTCAAAACATAAAAATATCATGGGCAGTAATTACTGATGCATCACAGTCATAATCAGTAAAATTTGGGTCCAGCAATTCACTCAACATGGGGTGCACCGCAGCAGATAGATCAGATTCAACATTTTCTGGCAAAGTAAATATTTACAACTCTTATGTACAGCTTCTGGACTTAAAAACCAATGGAGAACCAGAAAATTGTGTAAAGTCAAGTTTAAAATTAAAAAAAGAAAAAAAAAGAAAAAAAGCACTTTTCCAACCAATTTGGAGATGCTTTGGCATGCCAAAAGAAGCCTTTTTTTTGTTGTTCATTTCAACTGTTATAAAACCAGCAGATATAAAGCATCAGTGAGGTCAGATGTCCTGGGCAACACAGGCAAGGTCTCTCTTGTGTCCGTGATGTTAGCTGTCTGGCGAGCCAATATCCACTGTGATCTTTGTATACAGAGGGTACTTGTCAGTTCTTAACACCTTGTAGGATAGTGTATTTAAGCCATCAGAACTCATTGTCTCCCTTGTGTGAGCAATTCGGTCAAACCTGCCGAAGGGGGAAAAAAAAAATAAAGAAGGGGAAAAAAAAAAAATGGAGAAAAAAAAAAGAAAAGAAAGAAAGGAAGGAAGAAAAAAAAAAAGTTTAAACAACCTGAATTTCCCAAGACATTTTTATAGCCGCTCAGGCGGCACCTCCGGTGTTTTAAAAACAGCCTGAGTGTCAGTATGGGTCCCATAAACTCCCAGTGGGCAAAGGCATCCCTATGGGGTCAAATTATAGCCAGGAAAAAGCAGCCAAGCTTTAAATCACACAGGTCATTTTCCAGCTCTGCACTAGAGCATGGGTTTTATATACCAAAGACAAGCTGGAAACAATTGCTTGGGGCTTAATTTTCATCATTTAAGAAAAAAAGATGCAAGAGGTGTTTCTGCCATAGTGAAATCTTGGGGAAAAGGTCTGTAATAAGGTAATCAACTGGAAAGGGGAAGGGGGCAGCTTACAGTGGAGGGAACAGAGGGGTCGGCAAGATGGCTGCAGGCTTTCTGCAACTGGGCTTTTTGCACAGCAAAGAGAAAGCCAAGCAACCAGAGCAGCCAGGGCAGGATGGGATTCCCTGGGATTTGCTGTGGAACCAGGGGGGAGACACACCTTTCAGGGTTGGGTTCATTCTTCCGGTCCCGGGAATGCCAAAAACTGCACTTCCCAATGATGGCATCTGGACGGGATATCCCCATGCCTTTAAACACCAGCCTGAAAAAAACAAGTACATTAAGCATCCGTGACAGGCAACAGATGTGGGATGCTCTGCCACACCTTCCACAAATGACCACTGTTTTTTGGGGTTTTGCCTTTTTTTTTTTTTTGAGGATGTTGCTAGTGCATTTGCAGGCTTGCTAATACTGAAAGGGGGAAAAGCCATTCCCTTTCCAGGCGCGCACATCAGCATGGGGAAAAGAGACGTCCCCCTGCCAAGGATCTGCTTATTCACCACACCCTCACCTGCACCGCCAGCTCCTCCAAAGCCCAACACCCAGATTAACCTTGTTCCAGGCTGTAGACTGGACTCTGAAGGGGAGGCATCTAGTTTTTAAGCCATCTGGAAAGGAGCCAGAAGAGCATTAATTTTTCAGGATGTGAAAGCTGCAGTGCTGGTAAAACCTGAAGTGAATGGTGGTGAAGCAGTATGGGGGGTGGACACATGGTTTATTAAACAGAAGTGCTGAACCTCAGGAAGACACAAGCACTTTCAGGAAGACCCTTCCTGAAGCCCAGAAGAGCTCGGAAAGCCCAGAGAAAGACCATGCAGAACGGTTTTGCCATCAAGAAATGTGAAGAGGGCTTCCCAAACCCAAGCTCCCCATGATGATTTCTCACAGTGACCACCCTGGGGATCTGAAGCCCTAAGGTAGTACAAACCAACGTCCACCTTCTGCCCCAGTCTTCGCACAGGGGTGGTCCCAGCCTCCCATGTGCAAACACCTTCCTCCTCTCCTGCAGTTCTGGGCCTTGCCTGGCTTCCTTCTGGGCAGGAAGCAATGGCTCATGGCATTATTTTGAGCTGCTACAGCCTGACAAACAAAGCTCCTCTGGGAATTAAGGTATCCGCTACCAGGCTGCAGACCTAGGCAAGCCTCGGGCTGTGCTGGGCTAGGTGGGTCAAGGTCTTCTCCACCCCACCACGTGTCCCACGTCCCCTTCCTTTCACCAGTGCAGGGAGACCCAAAAGCACACTGCTCCAATCCATGCACCAGCATGGACGCTTGCAAGGCCATCTAGTGAACAAGTGGTATGTGCCTGGGGCAAGGGTGGCACTTTTCCAGCCAGAATCAGTCCCCAGCACACCTTGGGAGCTGTGAAAAGGGGTGCCAGCTGAGCCCACAGGTTTCCACTGTGGGAGTGAAAAGACACCCTGTCACCCCACACCTCAGCGAGAACAGCAGGTCTGTGCTCATCCCCACCCCAGAGGCACTCTGGATGCCAAGAAGTGTATTTATTTACCTGTTATAAATGTCATCGTCTTCGCCACCCCAGCCCCAGTAATTGTTCGGGAACCCGTTGATCTTTGTGAACTGCTCTTTGCTCAAGGCAGACACACCTCCGAAATACTGATTGTAAGGCAACCTGGAAGGAGGAAGAAAAAGCCATCAGAGGAGGAGTGGTGCTAGCCAAGGAGCAGCCTGCCCATGTAAAAAAGGGCTTGTTGCTGTCCTTTGCCCCAACCCACAGTAAGCTAGCACCCGCTGCAAGGTGCCTCCCTGCAACAGGCAGCAGCACGTGTTTTGGTGCCCTGGGCTCTACCCCAAGGCAGAGGGAGCTGGTGGGTTCAGTTCCAGATAAGAGTTGGGAACTATTTTGCAACCAGCAACAGCTGCAGCCTTTCAGTAAGAAGTACACTGTCCTCAAATCCCAAATCCCAGGCTGGTGAGATGTGCATCACCTTGCCAAAGGACAGATGGGTGACATGCATGCCTGGGAGCAGCAAGAGGTCAGTGAGGTATCAGACGTGATGCAAAGCATTCTCTTCCTGCAGCTCCGTCGCTTGGCTCCACGATCCCCAGTGCCCTAAAGGAAAGCTCGCAGCCCAAAACTGAGACGGCAACATGAACTTGTACACACAAAGCCAACCAGATCCTTCTTAAAACAGGAGGCAGTTCACCACGGGATTGGGGACAGATGAAATTCAGACCCACAGCACCAGGAGAGGGCCCATACAGGGACCATCAGGACCTACTCCGGACCTTGTCTCTGCTTCAACAAGCAGAAGAAACCCCTGAGACCTGCATTTCTGCCCTAAGCTTCACCTAGCTGCAAGAAAGAACTGCAGCTTCTGTGGTGTC